AGCTGACAATCGAATGCCGAAACAATTTAGTCTTTTATGCGCAATTGAAGATTCGATAGATGAGGCAAAGAGCTATCGATTCTCAATTTACGAGCTTTAGGTGTTGAGTATAAGCTTTTGCCATGAATGAAACTCATAAAACTTTAAGAAATATTTATTTTTTCTATAAATAGATAAAAAGGAAAGCTTGTTTTTTAATGTAAAAATACTTTCATGAATAAAAAGACTTCTCAAAGTCTGTAAATGTATCGCTTAAAATATGTGCTTATTATAATAAATAAATTATTTTTAGCGATTCACAACAATTAATAATAATTAGCAAAAATAATTATTACTGACAATTACAATAACAATGGCTAATAATAATTATTACACGATTGCCGCAAAAATTTAATTTTGTTTTTCCCTGATTTCCAGACAAAATTTTGACTTTCTCACTGACCCTAAAATAATTACATTTTTCGAGGAATTCGATTAAAATTGTATAAAATTGTATAAAAAATAATTTAAATTCTGCGATGAGTTTTATTATTCATGAAAATAATTGATTTTCTAAAACGAATTTTATTATTTATGAAAATAATGGAATTATTGCGTGGATAAAAAATTTATAAATAATTGAATTCCTGAAAAATGTTTATTATTTATGAAAATTTATGAAAATAATTAAATGTTTACGTATAACTTTATCAAACTTTTTTTTAAATAATTGAATTATTTTGAAAAATTTTATTAAAATATAGTTGATATTGAAAATTATTGAATTGAAGAAATGTTTTGAAAATAAATTGAAATTTTGCCAAAAATTTTATTAAAATTTATGAAAACAATTGAATTTTGAAGAAAAAGTTTATTATTTATAAGAATAATTGATATTTTGACGAGAATTTTTTAAGATTTGTGAATATAACTAAATTAATTAAAAATTGAAATTTTATAAAATTTCAAATTGAAACCGTTTGAAGTTAATTTATTTATGAAAATTTAAATAATTTATAAGTAATTATATACCTAATTTATATAATATAATTATTATATATAATTATATAATATAATTTATATAATTTATAAGTAATTCTTCAAGAATTAAGTTATTAAAAAAGAAATTATTTCAGAAGTAGAAAAAATTGAAGGTTTTGTATTAGAATTTATGGTAATTTCATAGTTTATGAGGTAAACAAAACGGACACAAAAATTCTATATTTTCTTATGAATTCTAATTAAATTTTATTTTTTAGTACTTTTCATAAAAAATCCTTTACTTTTCCTTAACTTTCCTGACCTGTGGCAACCCTGTATTACTATAGCAGTTAATAATAAGAATTATTAACAATTATTGTTACTGATAATTAGAAGAATTAGTAACATCGATTGATGTATCTTTCTTTTATCTGAAACAAATATAGGAATAAGACGAATATTTTTACTTGTTAAGATATAATAAATCTGGTTAGGTAATTTCCCCTGATTCTTGTATATCTTACACAAATTGACCGTATTTCGATCGCTTTCATGTTTTCAACGTGACTGAACAGTGTTATCTAATTTAATAAATACAATAAAAAGAATAATATTTTAAAGTTGATTTTAAATTACTTCTTCTATAGAGTATGCAGCTACTTTAATCTAAATCATCAGTAGCGCAGTTCATTTCTAGTCAGACATGCCGTCTGACCAATTGGCTCTGACTACTGAAAAATGCTTCATTGACTATTCATAAACTATTGTACTTGTCTATCATTGCGGTCGGTTATTTTTCACGATATAAATTTATTTTATCTAAATAAAAAATTGCAATAATTTATTTTACTTTCTATTCTCAGAAAGATTTTCAATTCAAAATATAAATTTTTATTAACGATATAAATTTTTTAAAAATTTTAAACAGATATTCTACTAATGTGGTATATGACCTTCCATTTAGGCATTGCTAGAAATTTTAATTTTTTCTTTTACTATTTTTTTCTATAGGATTAATGAATCTCAAAACTTTAATTTACCTACTAATATTTTTCAATTAAGTTATAAACAACAATTGAATATAAAAAAAGTTTTTTCTTTTAATATAATTTTTTCTATAGGGTTCATATATCTTGAAACTTAAATTTAATTCTAAATATTTTTAACAAAGTTATAAACAATTCTTGTAAACAAATTATTTATTTACAATAACTGAAGGTAAAGTGGTGGTATTGGCATTACTATCACATAGGGGCCGTACACATAATACGTCACGCGATTTTTGACCATTTTTAACCCCTCCCTCCCCCTATGTCACACTTCGTCACAAATCTTGAACCACCCCCCCCCCCTCCCCCCTACGTCACGTCACACACGTAAATTTTACTGTAAATGTTATACATTGGACAATATATATTATATCTTACACTCTAAATTATTGAATCAGTTAAAAATACCTGATTTAGAAGCAAAAAGTCAGTCACTAATTCAAATAGTAAAATTTTTTTGCTGACAATTAGTTGAAAATAACTGATGTTTCAATACAATTGTTTTTGATTGATCCAATTAGTCACGTTTAACTATACCTACATAGCACCGAAACTTTCCTATTACTAAAGATTTACTTGCAAGCTTCGAAATATTTAAATGCAAAGTTTAGTGAAAATTGTGTAAAGATTTAAATATCCCACTTCAATAAATGTTTAGCGCGAAACTTTCCTGAAAATTTAAGTTAAATTTTCAGGAAAGTATAGTCGAAAATGCAATTCAAATGTTCTGGAAAGTTCCAAGCTATATTCTTGAGAAAATTTGACGATAGACATTTATTGGAGTGAGAAATCTAAATCTTTACACAATTTTAAAATAAACTTTGCAAGTAAATTTTTCGAATTATGCAAGCAAATCTTTAATATACAATATTTAGAAAAATTTCGGTGTTTTGTGGATAATTTTTCAGTTATTTTTAACTGATTCAGAAACAAAAAGTCAGTTACTACTGATTGTCAGTTAAAACCATGATTTTTAACTGATTCAGTTTAAGAGAATATATATATATTATTTATCATATTATAAATAATATGCCAATAGATGTTAAACACACTGAGAAAACTGGATATTAAAAATCTTAATATACTAGATATTAAGAAAAGATGCTAATGCATATCATCCAGATGTTATGGTTTAATATCTCAGATGTTAAAAAGTATAATCTGTAAATGTGAGGTTATGTTTGAACAAGTCTTTTTCCAATATCTTAGATATTAAATTTGAACATCTAAGAAGTTTACATAGTTCACTGTCACAGATATTGACCATTAATATCTAGATAATAAGGCTTAATATCTATTTTTCTCAGTGCAGGTACATAATAGATATATAATTTCTTATAATCTTTGAATTTAAAAGATTGTGACGTAACACATGAGTTCACCCCCCCCTCCCCATGTCACACTTAGTCACAATTCTCAGACCCCCTCCCTCCCCCTAGCCGCGTGACGTATTATGTGTACGGCCCCATAGAAACGACATAGAAAAAAGGATATTAAGAAAATACACTATTTTTTATATTCAATTGTTGTTAAAATGTAATTTGTTTACAACAATTGTTTATAACTTTATTGAAAAATATTAGTATGTAAATTAAAGTTTCAAGATTCATTAATCCTATAGAAAAAAATATCAAAGAAAAAAACGAAATTTTTTCATGTTTGCTTGTTGTTAATTTGAAATTTGTTTATAACAATTGTTTATAAAGTTGTTAAATAAATGTAGTCAATAATTCTCACCTCCAAAATTCATTAAGAGAACAGTAAAAAGTCGGTGGAAGAAGACACTATTTTTCAGCTTCAATTACTGTCAATTCCTAATTTGTTTATAAAATTGTTTATAACATTGTTAAATAATAATGTTAAACAATTTTTATCCTCAACATTCATTGTAATTATCAAAATAAGAGCGATATGTAAACGAACAAATTTTTTTCAATATTTGTACCTAACTTTAAAAAAAACTATTTGTTTATAAAAAATGTTTAAAATATTGTTAAATTAATCATAGTGATAAAATTTTATCATAGATGTTATTTGTATACTAATTTTAGTTATTTGTGATAAGAAAATGTGTCTAGAATTTATTTTTCTGACTATTCAAAATTTTAGATATTTTGTCGGACACTTTTGAGCCGCCATTTTGAATTTCGAAAAATTTAAATTCCTAGCAATGCCTAAATGGAAGGTCATATATTTTGGACGCGATATTTTGTCAGTCAAATTTTTCCTAAAACGATTTTCAATCGAAATAGTATATTACGATACTAGGCCAGAAAGTTGGATTTCCTGGCCGGCGTGATATATAAGGCCGAGGCGAAGCCGAGGCTTTATATATCACGCTCGCTAGGGTATCCAAATTTCTGGCCGTGTGTCGTATACAATTTTTCTGTATCCCCAGCCGAAAGTACGTTAAATAATTATTGTTTGAATAATAAAATAGCTCAATAAGTTGCCCGCCCGACTTTTGCAAAGTCGAGGCGAAGCCGAGACTTAGCTGGTCGGGGCGGGCATGAAAAAAAATTATAAGTAAAAAATAATTGTAAGTAAAATTTAAAAAATAGTAAACAAGAAATTTTCTTTTACAAATAAATATTTAATAATTAAAAAATAATAAAAGAAAATAAGAAATTTCATGCATTATTTTGATGACTGTCAGTTGTTTTCAAAACGTGAGCTCTGTATGTAACGTGTCTGTGTGGTTGCTATGCTAACATGTACGTGTGTTGAAATTCTTGTAACCAATCAGAGCGCTCGTTGGGTCTGTCGAGCCGGCCACAAAAGTCGCTATTCCCGGAGCCAAATCAGACCGGGAAGACAGTACTTTCGGCAAAGGGATACAGAAAATATAGTTTTAATGAAACAAAAACCAAAAAAAATTTTTTTTTAATTGTTTAAACAATCATAACTTTTTTTTTACTTTTTTTATTTTTTTATATTAACTTTTTTTTATTATTATTATTATTTTTTTTCAAAAATTAAATTTTCTTGCAGATTCTGAAAGAGGGCAAAAAAATACAAACGAACTTTTGGGTCTAAATGGGTTAAAACAGTTTAAATCAAGGGTAAAATGAAATCGTCAATTTCATAGTCCATAAATACGTATTTTTTCCAAGTATAAATATAAATTATTGAATGAAATCCAATTTATAAGGTTTGAAATAAACTGGATTTACTTTAGGTAAATATAAATTATTTGATAAGTCCAGTATCTATTTGATGTAATAAAATAAAGTTTTTGTTTGCATCACTTTTTGAGTCCACACAATATCAATTCAGAGCGATAATAATTTTTGTTCTTAAAAACAATTTTCTTTATCCCAGCTTTATTTACAGTTATTCTTTTGGCGTTTTTGTCTTCCTACCTATTTACCAAGTCCTTTAAATGATCTAAAAATGTTGAAAGCAGTGGACTTAAAAAGGCAATTTACTGTACATACTAGATTTTCCCTGCTTCATTGTTAGAGAAACGCTTGCGCAGAAAGTATACAGCGTTGTTCTGTTTTACGACTTTTCTTCAGGACAAACTTGTGAACACAGAGGAGTTTCTTAAAACTTTCAAAGCGGAGGAATATTAGCATACACTTGACAACAAGAAAATTAACAAACTAATACGTGTAAGTGTATACGTCCTGGGGAGTAAAATTCGAGCGACATTTATGTGTTTTAAACTCCTATATTATTATTTCAGAAAATGTATATTGTATAGTGTTTACAGAGATATTTTATCGAGAAAGCATACGATAGTTGTTGGTTTTCATAGAGAGGAAAAAGAAATTTACAAATATTTATAAATAAGTTCATGTATGGCATCTATAAATGTTTGTTGAAAATGTGAAAAAAACGAATTAACGAATAATTGCTAAAGACCTGAAAGAATGGATGTCAAATTGGTAACAATGGATTAATAATGTTCCAAGTAATAAGTAAAAAATTTATAAATTCTTAATTAATGTATACATTAATTAAGAATTTATAAATTTTTTTTTAAAAATTTATTTTTTTTTTAGTATACTTTAACAATGATGTTTCCATAAAATAATATACAATTTATCTAACATTAATTTACTTGATTTGATCAAGAAAGTTTTGCATGTTGTAGATTTCAAGTTTATTGTTTGCATTTTTTTTCAAATAAGATAGGCTTTTATAGTTTCAAAATGAAAATGTCATAAAATAAAGTTGTTAGAAAATTGTTTTATTGCTTATTTTTCCTGATAACATATTTATTTCAAAACTATATCAGTACGTATCAAAAGAAATTATATTTATACGAAAACCAAACATGGACTACAGAAGCAAATTTTTGAAAGCGCTTGGTTTAATTTTGTTACTATTCGTTGGCCGAATTTCAATTCTCAAAGAAAGTCATGTAAGTCTAACATTCATATTAAGTTAATAATTTTACACGGAGAGAAGATAATTTTACGTGTCAGGTACCCTTGCAGGAAATTGGAACAAGAATCCTATACAGGTTCAAGTACAGGAACATTAGCTAGCAATGCTTCTTTGCAGCAATATTCCTGAACTAAAACATTAAAGAATCCCTTCAGGATTTTGTATAGAAATTTTTAGGTGCGGGTAGCGATAAAAGTAGTCGATCAGCTTGATACAATTGAATTTAAGTCCAGGGATGACTTCGAAACTTTAGTTTCGTTTTGGTTTTGAATAGCACCCCTAAACACTGATCGACCATTGGGTGTTGAGTGATCGAGTACTGGTTCTAATGTTATTTTAAAATGCTGATCAACTACAGGCGGATTTTAAGTGTTTTTAAATATCTTTATATTTTGTGTTTCCATTCTAAGTTATTTTCCTTTAATTTGATACAGGTCAACTGTGTGGAGGTGAGTGACTGGCTCAAAGGCGCGAGAGAAGCACAAAATAGTACATTTCGTAACAAGTGTGAACTGATGGCGTTTTTGAAACTTGGGGGGCGTCCATCAATCATGTGACTCAAAATGGGGGGTTGGGGGTTAAGAAAATTATCACGGTTGATCACCTGGGGGGTAGGGGGCTTCGCACATGATCACGTGATATGAATTAACTCTAAATTTTCAATGAAAGCTTAATTTGAGATTTGGCCGATTTTTCATATTCAGCATCTCAATGGGTATAAATAAAAATATTAATGAGATGATTAATAAATTTTATATGAAATATATATATATATATATATATATATAATATAAATATAAATAAATACACAACCGTCCGTGAGTATCAGGACGCCCCTTTTTCATGAGTGGAAAAATGCTTAAAACGTAGAAAATAAGAGTGACAAAAATTTTTCGTATTTTTTTCCTGAAAGCTAATGAAATTATGAAAAGACTGACACCTGATCGAAGAATTTTTGTTGACTATTGTGTCAGATACAGAAAAAATACTAGATTTTACATGCTTTTCGTAATTTTTTAATTTCTCGAAAACTAATTAACTTTTATTAGCGCTCTTGGTCTTGTTTTAATCTCTATTTAATGTAGAATATAAATTATTAACTGGTATTGTGAAATAAATTTTTTCAAAAAAATTTGAAACAGGTACTGTACTAGTATGTCGTACCAGTATGCTTATGCTCGTATAATACGAGTACGATAATAGTATGGTGTACTGAAGGTTTTTGTAATTTAGTTTATCGTACGGTTACTGTATTCGTACTATACTAGTACCGCGTGTAAAGCCTTTTATATCCCTCCCCTTCTTGTGCTTTAGTCTGTATTAAGTATTAACTATTTTAATTTAATATTTTTACTTTTTTTGTACCTAAAGATATTATGTAAATCATGTAACTTGTAACTCCATTTACTTTTATTAGAATAATCAGTGTTTTGAAGTATTTTAATTAAATAATTCTGTAGTGGTTTTGCTTTGCTAATTTTTAAACATTCTTTAAAATAACTGTGAATAATGCCAATTTATAATCTAAAGTACTTTACTGTAAGGAAAATAATTTGGACGTTCTAACCTATAAATGATAACACATGTATATATGTGATCTATAAGAAAAATTATTAAAAAATATTGCGATTTCTATATATATTTTATTGTAACTCTTGAATTAAAATTTTTTCTCAAGTGTAAAGCACAAAACAGTTTAAAAATCAGAAGTTGTCCATTGTTGTAGTAATTAGAATAAGCTAATGATAAAAATAAGCATCATGACAAAGCAAAACCACTTGAGATTAATAGTATACACATATTACACATACACGGAAAAGTTTTCGGGCGAGCTGCGTTCTCTGCGCGTAGAGAAGGTTTCCTAAAAGAGAGAAGGCATATCGCCTTGTAAATGGGTGAGCTTCTCTCTCTACTGGGAACGCTGCTCACCCAGTGTTGGACGAGCTGCGCTGAAAGTCAGTGGTAGATACACGACTGGTAGAGCAGCTCGTCCAATGCTGGCCTGCTGCGCTATCTTTTTGCGACTATATTGCTGCACCAAAGTGAAGTTGCGCAGCGTTACTAGAGCAAATAGAGTTGCTCGCCCGAAAACTTTTCCGTGTAGATGAATAGAAACTAAACCACTGATTTCTAATTTAAATATAATGACACATGTTACAAATATTAAAACTTTTGTATTGCATCCTAAAAGTCAGCTTTTCAACAAAAAATCATTGCACCATGTGCACTGGAGGCATATGTCATTGGCAACTGTAAAGTAAATTAGGTTATGTTCGCATTACCACGCAGAGTACGGTGTACCGGTATGGTACTTGTATCGTACGAATATGCTGTATTTTCATAAATGACAGTACAACTTAATGGTATTATACTAGCCTCATACTTTTATGGAGTACTTTTATTTTACAATTTCAGTCGTGCGACATACCGTCGTTATACTGGTGCCGTACCAATACGTATATACTTAATTATTTTGTGCTGGTACAATACGAGAATAATCTCAGTACGCCGTACTGGAAAATGACGATCAGTACGCTTGGCTATCTGGGTACATATAAATTACATATATATATTTCATATAAAATTTATTAATCATCTCATTAATATTTTTATTTATACCCATTGAGATGCTGAATATGAAAAATCGGCCAAATCTCAAATTAAGCTTTCATTGAAAATTTAGAGTTAATTCATATCACGTGATCATGTGCGAAGCCCCCTACCCCCCCAGGTGATCAACCGTTATAATTTTCTTAACCCCCTACCCCCCATTTTAAGTCACGTGATTTATGGACGCCCTCTAAGAGCCTTTGTTAAATTGCAAATTTATTTTATTTTTTAAGAAAAAACTATAGGTACGTGGTAAAAAATTCTGAAAAAATCATATGTTTCTAAAATAATATGAAGAACAAACTGTCAAATTTTTATAAGTTTCTCTTATTTCCTTATTTTACCGGTGACAATCCTTAAATTACATATATGTTAAACAAATTTTACCTTTACTGAATTTTCTGCCAAATGAAACTTATGTCAATTGAAATTTATGTCAAGTGATTTTTATGTTAAATGAAATTCATGTCAGGTGTATTTTTAAACCAAATGGAAATTATGCTAAATGAGTTTTATGACAAATGAAATTTATATTAAATGGTTTCATGTTAAATGACTATTATGTCAAATAAGATTTTGGGAGTAGTCATGCGTCTTCTTTTCATTACCTGTTTAAAAACAAAAAGTTCAATTTAAATTGACTTATAAATTTCGAATCGTCATTTACAGGTACCTTAGTCTAAAAATTATAAACTGCTTCTTAGAATAGTTATTTTGCAGGTAGAGGAAAAGGAAAGAAACCAAGAAATAATTGATTATGATATCTGTACTGTTTATGATTATTACAAAGTAATTGATAATTTGCTATTTAAAACAAGGTACAAGCCATTAGTCGTTATTATAGCACATACATTTACTGACGGCCTCAACAGAGTAAGAAATCTAACCCAGAGCAAAAGAATATTACATGATAATGAAATTAAAAACAATCCAAATTTCAGTCAAATTTATCACACATTGTTGGAGAATTTCTATCTATTTGAAGCCAAAAACATATATTATTTTATATATCCGGTACACATTTTAGACAATTTATTGACTATATATTGTCAAAAAAAGCTTTTAAACGATCATTTAGGTGTTATCTTTGATTTTATTAACGTAAATGAAGAATATCCTTTTTTTGAAGATATTTTAATTCCGTTAAGAATAAGCAGCCCTAATTGTGCTCTTAAACAATATATACGCAAAAAACTACAGACTGGCGAAAGTTTCTCAGAATTATCCAAGTTGCGTGAACAATTGTTTAGTGATAAAGAAAAGTACATATACGTTACGGCATTCAATAACGATGACATTTGTGATTCGATTGGTTTCAATTTAAATTCGCAAAGCAGAACCTTTTTATTGTATTTTAATTCATTACTAAAACAAATTCAAAACAGTACTGAGAGTGTTGGAAAAAAAAGAAGTATTGTAGAAAGAAGCTTAAATTGTTTTCAGTCAAGGCATCTTGAAGCGATCGACGATGAGTCTTTTAAAGATGATACAATTAAACTTTTTCTAAATCGTCCCATGGTTAAGATTGATTACTTAAATTGGCTAAATAAAACTATATCTTCATTGAATAGTAATGATACTTCATTTGCAAACATTTGCAGAAATAGGCACGAAATAGATGCACTTGATTTATTCTGTTTTATAAAAATTTTATCAGGTGCTGCAGCCCATAACATAACAGCTTGGATAAATGTCCTACAACAACTAGTTGCAAAATCATTGATAAGCCAACTGAAATGGTTCAATAGTTTAATATCAGTGTACAAAGATGAATATTTAATAGAAAGGGATTCAACTTTATCCGCACTTCAAATTCTTGAGAATCAAATGCTGAATGTTAATGAAAATTTGAAAAGAGTAATGATTCCTTACTACGACTTTGTTTTAAATCTGTTGGTAAGTAATAAATTATTATAGTTGAATAATATTCAACTTCATACTGAGAATATTAAAAGTATTAGCAAAATACTTTTAGCATACATTATAATTATAAATATTTGTTTCTGTAGAGCGAAAAAGGTCATATGATTCATACATTGATGTTTAATTCATCCTGCTTTATTTACTATCATTGGAGGACAATTGATGATTTACTTCTTGAAGTGGAATTTCAAAGATTAGTAATAATTGTAGCAGATGATATAAGAACAGGACTTGAAATTGTTAAACAAATTAAAACCAGCAGAGTACTGCCAAAATTAAAACGAGAAGATCTTCACTATACAAAACAGTTTTTGTACGACGTAATAATGAAACACATTCACCTGTTTCAATCCAATGATACTTATTATTATGTCTACTCTATGGACACCGACAGGCATCACGACGTATTGATTACCTATTTCGAATACAAGATGATTAAAGATTATTCAAAAGTTGAGTTCTATTTTGCAAACTTTATGAAATATTTCCCTCCTGATTACGTTGTTTGTAATAATTGTAGTGACTTGGTAATTCCTGCACTTCCAGATAATTGTGCAATTTCAAGTAAATGTAAAAAACGTTTTCTAAATCCCTCGTATTTAATTAAATTACATCAAGAATTTTACAATCGCTTTCCACAATATTTACCACTTTATGCTACTTTTTACATTGAATTTCTATCATTTATAAATGATGACGGTTTACATCATAAAGGCAATGATTACATTAACTATTCGCAAAAATTTTATGATTTTTTAAATGAAGAACGAATTGCTAATGATGCACACTATTTATTTAAAGATTTACCATGTTCATCTGCTCGGGAATTAAATAACAAAATCAATATTGACTTTACTATTACTGAAATAGAAGATGTTCATCGACTTTACAATTTATTACATTCTTCTCATAGTAACATAGTATCAATAAATAACACAGACAATACTAATTTAAAATCTTTTTGTAGTGATAATAAACGGTTTAAGTTTCTTCAGTTCTTTTGCTTTTTAAGAATAAATTACATTGAAGGAATGCTAAAAGTTATAGATCAAAAATCTGATCTTCTTTTCAAGTTTAAAGTGTTTGCTGAAAATGAAAAAAATAATATAACCGAATATTTGTTAAAAGTGTTAGTGAGGATTCACGAATTCGATTTATTAGATTATGTTGATTATAAGCATAAAGAAACTCAAATTTTAAGACAATCACAACATTTTTACTCCGGAATACCAGAAATTACCTTAAATGGTATGAATTTGTCAAACAAAATCTATTTATTAATAAGAGAAAATACAATTTATTTGGAGTGTCATGAAAAACAACTTATACAACATTAATAATGTTGAAATAAATATAATTTTTTTTAGTTAAACACATTTTAGAAAAGTAAAGCTGGCATTATTATTAATTAAAAAAAATAATTAACTATCTATTGAAGTACATTCTCCTGTGAGTTTTCTTAGAGCCTTAAATTATAGTGTTTACTTTTTTGATATTATGTGTTTAAGTAGAGAATATTCTTACAATGTTGTGCCAGCTTAACATAATTTGTAAAAAATGATATGTCAAATTTTGACATACGAGTATGGTTGGGACTTTTGTTTATACTAATAATACAGTGTTTTTAAAATATTAAATACAAATATAAAATGATGTTTTTCAAATATGGTATTAGTGTATGTATGTACTAGTAATTGTACGTCTGTATCATGTTCACTTATAAAAAATACTGGTAATATTAGCTCAAATTGTGTCAGTAACCGAGTAGTGTTGCCGCGATACGAGACGAGAGGCGAGAATTCTATTAATCTCGTCTTGTCTCGTAATTTTAAGGCGATTTATTGTCTCGTCTCGAGCGTTAAAAATGCATAGAAATCACGATTTCTCGTCCTCGTGAGTCCTCTCTCGTCTTGTATCGACTTAACGATATTTAAAAAAACACTGTATCATCTCGTCTCTCGACATTATCGCGGCCACACTAACAGAGATCCATTTTTTCAGTGTAATGCAATTTATAAATCCTGAATTAATGTACTGTAACCTGTATCAATATTGTTTCCATAAAAAAATTTGTATAAATAATTTAACTAAAATTAATTTTCTTGTTTTTCATTAAAGACTGGCGTAATGGATCATTTCAATTCATCATATAGAAAAAACTTTAGATAAATTCCTCGATTCTAAATTTAAGCCTCACTTTGAAGCTAAAGTCAGAGTCTAATAATTCAAATTACAACTTTACGACTGATAAAAGTTAAATAAACTCTACATTTTAGGCAGAAAGTGGGGCTACATTTTGACTTGGGTCTTTTTTCGTTAAAAATAATAATGTACTTTGTGTACTATTAGTTTGTACGATATATCATTGCTAATCATTTATTATTGTTAATTATTACAGAGAAACTAAATTTTCCTGTAAGACGAAGTTTTTTTTATAGATTTTATATTTTTATTACTTGCATTTCGCGTAGATGTGATAGGCTTTAAAGTTTAAAAATATTAAATTTCTGTTCTATTACTTGCATTTTTTATAGATTAGATAGGCTTTATAGTTTAAAAATAAAATGTCACAAAACAAAATTTCTTTTCTTTATATGACTAATTTTTCATAATAGCTTGTTTATGCCAAAACTATACCAGTATTTGTCGAAAGAAGTTGTATTTATACGGAAACCAAACATGGACTATCAAAGGACATTCTCCTTAGAGCTTGGTTTGATTTTGTTGTTGATCGCTGTACAAGTTTCAAATCTTAAAGGAAGTAATGTAAGTTTAAAAAGCATGTGAATTCAATTATTTTACATACATAAAAATAAAACTGTTATTCTGTTATACTTGTACGAAAAGTACCTATGTCATTTCGGACACATAATGTGGGTGCAAAGTGATACATTTTCATGTATCACGATATATAAGTGATACATAACTGAAAATTTTAATAATTTATACAAAGATTTCAATCGATTACGGATTTCAAATTGTTGCGGACTAATATTGGATTTCTTGCTTACAGAGTTCGGATTGCTTCGGACATTTTCCGGATTAAGTTTTTTTAACTAGATTAAATTCGGATTGTTGCGGACTGATTCCGTATTCTTTACATATTGATTTCTGATAATTCCGTACTTATTTTAGAAGAATTCTTCACCGGTCATAAATTCGGATTGTTGCGGACTAATTACGGACTGAATTCGTAGACATTCAGGATTACTCCGGAGTGTTTTCGGATTCAGGTTTTCGTTCGGATTAATATCAGACTAACGCGGATCATTTTCGGACTTTTTTCATACAATTTTCGGACTAATCCGTAATAATCTGACCGTTCTTAATCCGGAATTAGTCCAAAATTTTTACCAGGGTAGTTTTCGTAACTCTAATATAGGGGAGACTGGGGTAAACCCGCTCACTAGCGATTTGAACAAATTGTTCTTGGATTTTTAAGTTTTCCGATCATTATTTTTGAGTTGAAATTTATTTGGCAAAGTTTTTTTGATGCTATTGGATATCCTTTTTCGAAGTACATATATAGTTTTGTTTGATTTCAAAAAGATTTAATTAAATATATTCTGAAATGTGAGGAATACATTCAGGGTAAAGCCGGTCACTTAGTTTTAAATTTAAAATTTGTAATAAAATAATTTCACGTATTAAATTTTAACAATAATAAAATTTATAACTTTTTATAACCAAAATACATGTAACCACATTTCACTTTCTCTTAATAAAATATAAAATTATTTAAATCATAGTTTATCATAGTTTATCAATAATAAATCATACTTAAGACGGGAATAAGACAAAATTTTAATATTTAAAAAATGAAACTTTTCCGACTTGAAAAAATAAAGTGGGCGGATTTACCCTGGAAAATTGTGATTTTTAAATTTTGTATAGGGTAGAGCGGGGCTAGTTGAGCATAGGGGTAAGTTGAGCAACCGAAATATCTCAGGCTCTATAAATTGGCCGCTAATTTTTTCAATGCCAGAAAGAAGCAGGCACTTGCGCAGTTATGTTCCCTCCTGCGCCTGCTTCTTTCTGGCATTGAAAAAATTAGCGGCCAATTTATAGAGCCTGAGATATTTCGGTTGCTCAACTTACCCCTATGCTCAACTAGCCCCGCTCTACCCTATGCGAATTAAAAATTTTCTCTAAGTAAAACTAAAAAAGATAAATCAAAAACTCTTTTTTATTTTTTTTAGTAGAAATCATTAGCTTTCAAATGATATAAATTAATTTGAATTTAGAGAATAATTTCCTAGATTTTTACCGATTTGACAAAAAGTGAGCGGGTGTAAACCTGAGCATTATTATCCCCTATCATTATAAACGTTCGAACATGTTTTTTGACAAATACATTGAATTAGTCGATTTTAAACGGTTTTTGACTGAAAATGCTCAGATGTTTTTAATGATATCTCGCGAACCAAATAAGATTTTGGAACTCTTTTAGCCTTAAATTAAAGATGAGACTTGAATGATCACAACTATGTAATGTTCAAATTTTTTATTCAATGTTTAAAAAATTTGCAAAAGTTTAAGGTAGTAGCCCGGTGTGAAGCTTGAAATTTCGATGCTACTTCACGAATTTTTTTAAGCGGGAAAATAAAAAACGATCGTTACTATATAAAAAATTTTTTTTTACATTAATTTGTTAATAATTTTTAACGTCGAAGTCGACTCCTTGAAAAAAAATAGAAATTTTTTGGTAAACTCCAGAACCAATCGCAGTCACCTTAAATGAAAAACTCAAAGATATTATTAATCCACAGACATAAAACTAAGTCTGATACCAATAAAACATTACATTTTTTAATAACAAATTAAGTTTTTTAAACAATTTATAATGAAAAAAAACCGTTTTCAATACTTTTTTTCACAAGTCCGACATTTTGTTTTTTCTGTTTAAAAATGTAAATTTTATTGGTATCAGGCTTAGATTTATGTTTGTGGATTAATAATATCTTGGAGTTTTTCATTTAAGATGACTGCGAAAGGTTCTGGAGTTTACCGAAAAATTTCTGTTTTTTTCGAGGAGTCGACTTCAGCGTTAAAAATTATCAACAAATTAATGTAAAAAAAATTTTTTTATATAGTTAAAGACGTCAATAAAAAGTTAAAAACATATCTTAATTTTGTAACGATCGTTTTTTTATTTACCCACTTAAAAAAATTCGTGAAGAAAGATCGAAATTTCAAGCTTCATACCGGGCTACTACCTTAAAAAATTTCAAAAATAATTTCTTTTTTTGAATTTTTTTGTAAAATTTGTAGATTGCTGAAATCTTTGCATAAATTATTATAATTTTCAGTTATGTATCATTTATCGTAGAATTTTATAAGCTTTGGAATGGTATATTTGTTAATCTGCCGACATTTGTAGTTACAAAAAAACCCAAGCAGAAATTTCTGTCAAATGCCAGTATTCACAACAGGCGCAGTATTGCACCAGTACTGGCATGCCAGCAGTTGGCTTGCCAGTACTGGTTCAGTACTGGCTTCAATAAAATTTCTGTACTACGCCAGTACTGCCCTTTAAGACTGGTATGCCAGTACTGTGCCAGTATTGCGAAAACAACACTGGCAAACCAGTACTACGCCAGTACTGTGCCAGTATTGCTAACACGGTAAACTGACAATAGTCAGTTAGGAACTAATTAATGGAAATTTATTAATTGCAGTTTTTGCAAATGAAGTAGCTCGTCCTCATCTTTGCGCATTTTAAACACAAAGTGGCCGACCTTGACAGAAAGTAACATTACCGAATTGTTGTAACCATAAAGAAATACGTTTCGAGATTCGATTATCCACTTTGATTTTCTTTCAACCATGATTTTGAAAACAATTTTAATAGATTTTATAATTCTTATGATAATGTTATAATTTGTGGCGATTTTAATTATGATCTCAGTAAGTCATCCAATGACTCAAATTATCTTAGAGATTTTTTTGAATCCCTAAATTTATTTATTGTACCATTTGCTTCAACGCATCATACTTCTCATTCTGAATCTTGGCTAGATTTGTTTGTGGTAGATGAGGAGGATAAATTGAAGGGGATTTTTCAATCAAATGTTCCTTTTGTTGCTGGTCATGAACTTATATCAATATCTTATGAATGGAATTTTAAAAAACAATCATGCCCAACTAAAGGTTATAGAAATTTGTCACAGATTGATGATAATGCTTTTTTGTTTACTTTGGATACTGTTAATTGGTCTGAATTTTATCAATTAAACTCGGTTGATGATAAACAATCTTTTATTTTTAATGTTATTATTAAGGAGCTAGATGAGCATGCCCCTCTGTGTAAAAATGTAAACAGGGGAAAAGTATGTCATTGGATGAATGAAGATATTAGTGGTCTTTTACGGCAAAGAGATTCTGCTTTTAGAGCTTGGAAGAGAGTTGGTGGTGAATCAAAGCGAGGTGAATATAAAGTACTAAGAAATAGAGTAAAATTATTGATGAGGGAAGCGCGTGATAAATACAACGCTGGCAGGCTAAAGGGTGTTAATGATTCGAAAAAACTATGGGGGGAACTAAGACGTATTGGTCTTGCTAAGAGTAAAAAAACGATTCTCCTCTCTTTTTTAATGTAAATCAAATCAATGATTATTTTCTATCTGTTTGTGGAAACTCGTCCTTCAATATTACACCCTCCTTTCTCTTAAATGTAGTGGACGATGATGAGTTTGATGACACTCTTTTTTATTTTAAAGATATATGTCCTTCTAAGTTGCTTGAGGCTTTCAACAGTATTAAAACTGAAGCGCAAGGAATTGATGGACTGTCAATAAGTGCAATTATGAAGGGAATGCCGGCTGGAAAAAGGTTATTATTAAACCAGTGCCTAAAGTGAAGGTTCCGCAGCAGCCTGGGGATCACAGACCTGTTGCTATACTGTGTTCTTTGTCTAAGGTTCTTGAGAAAATGGTACATTATCAGTTGACAGATTATATTGAGTCTAATGATGCATTGAGCCCTTTTCAGTCAGGCTACAGAAAAGGTTTCAGCACCCAGACTCTTTTGGCTAGTTTAACGGATGATGTATGTAAAGCAATTGATCAAAGGATGGTCACAATAATTGTTTTCTTTGATTTTAGTAAGGCCTTTGACATGGTGCCTCATACTCTTTTGCTATTGAAACTTAAATCTTTTGGTTTGTCAAATTCTGTCTTAAGATGGTTTGCTTCATATCTGTCTGGGAGAATGCAGGCTGTTGTGGACCAAAAGGGGGAATTTTCATATTGGGGAAATATTGGAACGGGAGTACCTCAGGGATCGGTGCTGGGTCCCTTATTATTTAACCTTTTTACGAATGACCTAAGGGATGTTTTAAAATACTCTAAACATATGTACTTCGTGGACGATTTACAAATTTATATTCATTCTAGTCTAGATAATTTAAACGAAAATCTGGCTTTAATAAATAAAGATGTGAAGTCGGTACTAGATTGGGCATCAACAAATTTTCTTAAAGTAAATACTGATAAAACTTATTCTATGATAATTGGATCAACTTGGTATACAAATAATATCAAACTAGATGGTAACTTATTAATTAGGATTAATGATATTACCATACCTTTTGTTGATTCAGTTAAGAATTTGGGTGTTTTATTTAGACCGACTCTCTGTTGGGACAAGCAAGTTGGTAAAATTTGTAAAAGTGTTTATGCAACCTTGTCACAATTTAAGGGGGATAAAGAAGCTCTTACTGTTGACATTCGAATAAAACTTGTTACTTCGTTGATTTTTCCTCATTT